CTACTAAGTTGATAGCCGTTGGTTATTGGTTCGTCATGGATTCAGCTCTAAATAGTGAATCCTAGTCCATTTCCCACACTTTCAGATCGAGAGAGTGATTGGGCTAAGGCAGAGGTTGTGCTTAAAGGCTTCAAGTCGGTGTTTGCGTGAAACCTAGTTGATTCAGGGTAAGTTGCTCGAGAGAATTAACCTAGGCCTTCTGGCCCCTGCATCTGGTCCAGCAAAATACCATTATTCAATGCTTTCCACGAGTTACCACGTTCTTAGACTAGGTACTGCGAACAAGAAGCATTATGTAGAAATATGTCAGTTCTTAAAAGGTACAACCAACAACAATAACCATTCAATATTTGTTTCTTGTAACCTCTTTTCCAAAGTCTGAAATCCTTAGAAATAGTACTTATCATTTCTTTCCCCTGTTTTACGTATAAAAGGTCTATTATTTCCAAAGACTCTCCTCTTAAAAATAGTTTCATGGCAAGTTTCGTAGATCATTAAATCAAAATTTCCATATAGAAATTGACATTTGATTCTATTGTCATAGAAGGGTTCAATGTGAGTGTATGTACATAACATATGTACACCATATTTCAGCATTAGAGAGGACAACTAAATAACACTTCATTTCCAACTAAAATTTTGATGTTTTTCGCAAAATAAGAACAAATTACAGATAAAATCATACCCAAGATATTTATATAAATGTCTATATATTTCTCTTTTGAACTTCAAGAATCAAGAATCATTATATCACCGTCTTCTTCACGCATTGCATTCATATCCCTTTTCCTAAGATCATCATCCTCACCAACTTTAGTCAAAGTTGATGCTGTTGATACTGTGAAATTTTTTTGAAATTCTCTACGACCAATTTCACCATCAAAAATCACGTGTAATTCATCTTTTTCTTCTTGTGAAAATTTATGCCTACAGAGTGGACAAGTATTACTCTGATTAAGCCAAGGGATAGTATAATCATTATGAAAAAGAATGCTTACAAGGCAATTGACTTCCTTCCGTATCAATTCAAAATTCCCCCATACAAATAAACATTTTTTCAATGATTCTATGATTTTCACACTCGGAAGTGAGTTGATAAACGATTTAAGAGTGAGTGAACGGAATTAAGGTTAGTTAAACAACTCAAATGAATGATTGACGTAATCACTCTCATCAGATTAAGTATATGAATAAGAATAATTAAAAGTGACAGAATCATTGGTGGAAAGGGTATAATTGGTAAGAGTTAAATGTTGAGAAAAAGGTATAAAACTATAAATGGTGTAATTAAGGAGGAGCTAGCGATGAAAGCACTGAGGGCAACGAAAAGGGGCGCTAACGCCAGCGGTGGTGGTTAAGTGAAAGGCATCGTTGCAGTTGTAGCACCGGTAAGAACGGCGACAACCGGGAAGGCTTGCCTTCGTTGTCAACATGACAGACCTTTGGTGTCGGCTTTCTCGGGTTTCTCGAGGCCCACACTATAGTCTTAACTTGTTATTTGTTTTATTATTGGAGAAAAGTTGAGAATAGTGTCTATTTAAATTGTTTTGTGCATGAACCTGTGGAATTACAGCATCATTATTATATTTTGACAACAAATTTATTTTGTTTTGTGTTATAATTATTAAGTTAAGGCCAAAATATATTTATATATAAATTATTCCAATTTTATATATAAATTAATAAAGTTAAAGGCCAAAAATAGTTAGTGAAACACACCTAGATGTTAACTAAATTAAATGGTTCTCTTGATATGCTTCTAGGCATGTATGTCCATAAAATATTCGCTCAACTACCATAGGTTCTGGTAATTTATTGGACGTATTAGTTTATTTATTACATTTTCAAGGGAAAAAAGTCAAAAATATTCTTTAACAATGAAAAAGGAACTAGAATGTACTCTGTTTATACTTCGGCTACGAAATGTCCTTACTGTCAATATTTGGCTCAAAAATGTCTTTGCAGTCAAAACTTTGGTCCAGAAATGCTCTTATAGTTACAAAATGGGTCAAAATCCCTCTTTTCGAATAAATATTTTTTTAGAACACATTTTTTTCATAATTAACAATGAAGACTATTCTTGTTTTCTTTCTTCTAAAATCACTTTAACAAATAAAAACGTAGATTTTTTTCTTCTTCTTAGGGTGTGTTTGGTATGAAGGAAAATGTTTTGAATGAAATTTTTTTTTCTGGAAAACAAATAGATTTTTACTTATTTCTCATATTTGGTTGCTGAGTAAAAAAAATATTTGCAAAAGATTTTTAGCGTTTGGTTAATGAATGAATTTTTTTTAGAAATGTCGTTTTTTTTACTAAAATAGAAACTTATTTTTGAAATTGAATGTTATGGTATAAAAATATATTTGTAAATTTTTTTTTCCATTTTTTAGATTAATTGTTGAAGTTAAGGTCAGAAATACATTTTACATCTGAATCATCTCATTGATTAGTGAAACAGATCTAGATGTTGATTAGATTAAACCGGTGTCTCAATTTGCTTCTAGGCGTATTTCCATAAAATTTACGTTCACCTACCGTAGGTTCTATTTTGAATTCAACTTTTTTTTTCAATTTTACTTGCAATTGATGATATATTAATTCTTTTCATTTCTTTTTAATTAATTTTTTAATATTCTAAACTCTCCCCTTTTAAGTCGGAAAAATTCTATGTCAGGACTGAGACGAGATCACGACTAATAAGGTAGAGAAGAAGATGATGAATGTCATGGTGGAATAAATATATTTACATGGTGATAGTTTTAACCTCAAAACTTCCTTTTTTACTTAATATTAATTTATTTAGATTTGTCATAATAAAATTAGTTTTTCACATGTAGCGAAACGTTATATATTGTTTAAACAAAAGAAAGGTTTAAAAGAGAGTGCACACATCGTTATCAGAAATAAGTAAAGGAAAGTATAGCTAACTACAGAGTAATAATTCAAGTATCAAAATTATACTTTAAATAGTTCATATATGAAACTCAAAAATTTATGATAGTTTAGTATTGACTCTTTTAACTGTAAATATTGTTATTATTATTTTTATGTAATAAATATCTATTGTTGTATTTGCTTTGGAAAAAATTGATGACTCTAAAAATGTTAGTAATCCTTATTTTGAGGACAAGGAAGTTTTCCTTAAACCACGGAGAAATATAATTAAGGCTTCTTTTTCTTTATTATATTTTTGTAATATTATTTTATAATTTAATAACACATTACACACAAATGTCTAACCTTTTATTGGATTTTATGTACATTATAATTGCTTTGAAAAATTGACGTCCGATGATGTCACTCACAACTTACTAGAAATCAATTGAGTAAGAAAAAATAGAACTCTGATCCTCAATGGAGGAGAATAGTTTAACTGTATGGAAGTAAGATATGCTTTATAACTTGTAGAGCTTGTTTGGAAGGCATCTTGATAATTGAATTTGATATAATTGGGTGTAGTTACATTGTCTGTCTAGTTTAGTTTCACATATAATTATTTGATCATCATGTAATTGGTGTAATTGACAACGGGTAACTATACTCTACAATTCACATGTAGAGATTGGGAATTTCTAGTAATTACATGGTATGATTATCAGATGATTACTTTTTTTTATTCTTTTAACTTCTACTAGGTAAATTATCTATGCTTCGCTTGGATTGAACTATTTTATTAGGCTTACATATGATCATTCATTAATACTTGTATTTTGATACGTAATTGGAAAAAATATTTTATCTTAATGCAAGGTATTTCTCCAAAATCTTTAAGTGCTATATTTTTTGTAAAATTTTATTTCTTTTATACAAAAATTATGAGTCATAGACAGATTTTAAGTATATGAAAGAAGTCTAACAAAATCTCCATGGAAATAGTTGGTCAGATTTTAAATTTTAAATTCTAAGAAGTCATAAAGAACAATATTAAAAGTTAAAAAATAGACCAAAAAATGTTGAACAACAACATTCCCAAGTAAAGTGGAACATCACATTCACACAAGAGCATAACTAACTAAATTCAAATGAACGGTCTTGGACTCCTTTTTTATGACCTCAATCAATATCTTTTTTATTATTGTATGACATATCAAGTATATGCTAAAAATGAATCTAAAACTGTTATTATCATAAATGTATTTTGCCATTGTCCCAAAATAGTCATTACTATTTTTAAGGTTTCATATTACTAGCCCCAACTTATTTAGATTAAAACATAGTCAATGTTACAGTTATAGTATGCAATTATAGTTATAGTATGCAATTACAAAAAATTAATGCCATTATCAACCAAGCACTATGTGACATCTGAATGTTCACAACGGGATATACTAAACAAAAATTTTGACACATAGCATATTAATTCTCACAACATAATTTTGTGGGCACTTGAACATGCAAATATCAAAAATACTATCAAAGACGACCTTACTTTCCTAACAATCAAGAAGACACTACTAGAAATTTGGTCTACTGCCACGGTTCACCTATCGTTGCAATTGACGTTTTTACCGTAGCCATAGGTCTAAGGCTACGGTTACACCAACCGCTACAACAGATCGCGTAGCAATAGAGCTGTTGCTACGATTCTTTGCGACAGTTCATATAACCGTAGCCATACATTGACCTATTGCCACGGTTATCATTATGAATTAATTGCCAATGGTTATGTATGTATTGGTACAGTTTTTAACCGTCGTAATAGAGGTTTATGCATCAGTTCTGTTAAGGCTATGGCTACAGTTTTTTTCGATTCAACACACCATTTCACTCAATTGCGACGGTTGTTATAGGGATATTGCAACACTTTAAAACAATTGTAGAACTGTTGCTTAATGCCTATTGCAACGGTTATTACCTGCTATTTGCAACAATTCTAATGCAATATTAGTAAGCTATATATACCTGCTATATACTAAATCATCCATGAGAATAAATTTTATAACATAAAAATACACATAAATCGTTAACGAGAATAAATGTTCATTACCTTAATTAGAATTCAAGATCCGTGATTCTAATATCAATTAAAGCAAAATGTACAAATCATTATAAAGCATTCAAAAAAGGTGAAACACATGCCATATATACTTCAGCTCCTATGTCAAGTCTTCACTATTGCTTTCATTGTCTTCTTCGATTTCGTCACCTACATACAATCAGAAAAAAATATAAATAATTTAGGAAACCTCAAATCTTGGAAATGACAAGTATACATGTAGTTACAACCTGCAGGCATTAGCTTTTAGAATTGTTCAACCCTAAAACTTGGAAATCAAGTACATGCCAATCAAGTTTCCAACACTAAAAATATAAAAGGTGGAAGAGAGAATAAATTACTTCCAATCTGAATCCTCCAATGAATCATCAGTGTCAAGTATCAGATGAAGAAGATGGATCAGAAGAAGAAGAGGAGGAGGAAGAGGAAGTTTTTCAAGAAAATGACATTGGAAACCTTCAAAGTCACTACCAAAACCAGCAGATGCTACAGCCAGTCTGCAAAAAGCCAGAAAAATGGGCTAATTTCACAGTAAGCGAACAAGAATTGAACAAAGGGACAAGAAGAATGAAGCCAAAGAGAGCTAAAACAGATGTTATAGAAGGCCATGGAGGCCGAATTATTCGAGCCACGGGAAGAAAAGACAGACACAGTAAGGTTTCAACTGCAAAAGGTCCGAAGGATCGACGAGTTAGGCTTTCACCAAACACTGCAATTCAGTTCTATGATGTGCAAGATAGGCTTGGGTATGACCGTCCAAGTAAGGCTATTGATTGGCTGATTAAAGAAGCTAAAGCTGCAATTGATGCTCTTGGTGAGTTCCCTAATAATTTTCACTCTACTAAACTAAATCCCAAAAAAATGTAGTATTCATTTGATCAAGAACAGAGTCCAGAATTTAGCCAAGAAAACAGAGGTGTTCCCAATTCTGAATGTGGAGTTCAAGACAAACAACAAGAGGTGAATTATGACATCCCAAACTTGTTTTCACTCTACTAGCTGCGCGCATTCAAACTTCTACAAGCAGCAGCAGAAACAAGAGACCAGACTACATGCAGTAATTAGCTACTACGTTGGCTCGACTAAGCATAATCGTGAAGCTAGGATTCAACACTATGTATAATGCTACAAGAAACCAGCAGCAGAAACAAGAGAGCAGCTGCAGAAACAAGATACACCAGCAGCAGAAACAAGAGAGCAGCTGCAGAAACAAGATAGGCCAGCAGCAAAAACAAGACAGCAGCTGCAAAAACAAGATAGTCCAACAGCAGAAACAAGAGTCTAGACTACAAGCAGTAGAAACAACACTATCATGCTACAAGACACATGTTTAATTAACATAAACAAGAAACCAGATTACATGCAGTGATTAGCTATTCCATTCTAATCCTATAGCAAGTAGCAACAACAAATACCAATCAAAACATAGAATTAGCGACACCAACCTTGTTTATCCCCTTGAACAGAAGTAGATTCTCTTGGTGAAGGAGTCGACAATGCTGCCAATATGTTAGGATCAATTAATCCGCATGCTTAAGTTGTGCAATAACATCTGCAATAACTTCTTGTCGCACAATTTTCTTTTGTTCCTCCATTTGTTTCTCCATTTTCTGCATCCTCTCTTGCATTTCATGCATTCCATCAGTTGTTGCACTTAAAGTTGATTCCCAATTGCCAACTTTTTTTTCAAAGTAGTCTTTGTAACTCCTGCGCCATATAGTCTTAGACGTCCCGGATGTTCAGGACCCATGACGCTTGAAAATGCATCAACATACTCACCATTTATGCTTATTTGTTTTTCAATTTGCTCCATTTCAGCCTATCAAAGTATATCCAACAAATACAATCTTATGAACTAAATAATTGATCTCAACAAAAAAATTAAAATAGACAGACACATACAATTTTACTAGTAGTATCTTCATTTGAGGCCTTGTATGATCGCCCAGGTTTTCTTGTTCTTGTACCCACAAAGATATCCTTAGATGATACTGTCTCCTTATCTTTCTCCTAGTCGAATTGAAATATATACAAAAACTAAACTCACATTGGAAGAGATCCAAAAGAAAATTTCATTAAAAAATAATATATCAGAGAACTCACCAGCTTATTACGAACTAAAGCGAAACTCTTTTTGCCAGTAGTGTGTGGATTCATCAGTTTTTTTCGATTCTTTGCATTTGTTTTAGACATTTTCTGCAAAGAAATGAATCAGTAATGTTAATCGAAGGTATATTAGTGTTATATAGTGTACTAGACGAGGTCAATATTAGTCTGTCTTTCCTTTATAACAATCTGTCAATATTAGTACAAATGCTATTTATTAAAGAAATTGATATTCTGAACTACATTTTTACCTTGAATATTTTCAGAATTCCAATATTTGAATAGCTCTCTAAATTAACATTCTGGAATATGACCAGGCTTTTTTGCCATTCGAACTGCATCATTTTCATATGGATCGTAATAATTAAGCTTCAAATCACTTCTATGTCTTCTCCAAATCTTTTATGACCTTTTTTGCCTTGTAAAACGAGTCGGGTATCTGAGCAAATGGAAATGCCTCTCTTATCAAGTCCAATAAATCTGAAAAGGCCACATCAGTCAACTTGTGAATGCATTTAAACAAGTATAGCCGGATGGTAAAACTCAACTTAGAAAAATTCTTACACCCTGGATAAAACTCTTCTTTCCCTTCCTCCACTAATTTAAAAAATCTCTTTGCATATTCATGTGGCCCCTCCCTCACTCCTTCATCTCTCTGATCATCTACAATATTTCTAAAAGTATCATGAAGTAATCTATCAATGTCGTCATGCATGTTAGAAGTTTCTTCTTCATCGGTTGGATGTGGCGTATTTCTTGAGGAAAATCCTTCACCATGAAAAACCCATTTGGTGTATCCATGAACAAATCCATGGCAAATCAAATGATCCTCTACCATATTTCGGCAATGCCAATTACGATTAAAGCACTTCTTACAAGGACACAATATTTCATTTCCTTGGGAAGCTCGTTCAAATGCTTTATCAAGAAAATCATTAACTCCATGAATATATTCATTGGTGGATCTTCGGAGATTCATCCAACTTTTATCTCCAAAATCCATTGAATATTTATCCTACATTACATGTGCAAAACATTAAAGCCAATAAATTCATGCGTACAAATAATATCGAATGAACTTAAAAACTCGAACTTTTAGATTAATCGAATCTCAAACCTTAACATCAATTCAACAACAAACATTTACAACAATAATAGTAGAACCAAAAAATATTGACAAGTTAAGTTATTAGTAGCTTCCACCATTTAATAAACTTTATACAAATGAATGACTAAAGGCACACGTAAAAAACATTTCAAAGCAATAAGGACAGACCTAGATTAGAGTAAATAACATACATTATAGCAATAGACTACAACAAGCAAACAAAATAACTATCAATACATTAGTTTTGATTCTTGCAAAACAGTTCATGTATTTGTAAAATAATAACAGAGTATTCACATGGAAAAAGTAGTTCAAACAAACTATAACAACTCATATTCTCTTTATAAAAAAACACAAGGGAGTTAGCTAGTCAATCTAACAACTACCATATAGCAGAAAATTTCTATTACTTTCAATTTCTTACCAATCAGCCTTCTCGGGTTCCAAACGAACTACTTCAAAAATCCTCAAGTGTTACCTTTGGGTCTGTTTTAGTCAAGCCTATAAATAACATAATCACACAATATTAGTAGGAAACCAAGCCAAAGAGAGGAAAAAATATAAGAGATACAAGTCCAAGATAAGTAGCTTAGCTTAGAAAACTCCATCAAAAAAATCCTTTTTTTTAATCACACATACAAAAAAAACAGTGGCACAATGACTCTATTGTTACTAACAAATATTTTATGACAGAAACGGGATGTAATATCACTGGCCTCTTGCTTTGACTAATTATACAAAATGCAATTATGTATTTGTGTCATTGCGTTTGTACATTTGTTTGCTTGTTATTGGCTGCTTGTTATAAGACAATGAATGAGTCTGTTTTGCTTTTAAAGTCAGGCCACCCAACTTAATTAAAAGGTGGTCAAGATATAAGTAAAAAAGATATTTATATATGTGACAAGGTTTAATTTCTTGCTGAAATACTTGTTGGTTTGAACTATCTATCTCTATATTCCATGTATATATAGCAGTGGCACAATGGATACAATATTTTATGAAGCACAAAGACAAGGACTATATTCTTTCTATGTTACACTGTTGAATCAAACAAATATCGTCTAGCTAAGTAAATCAAATGGTGGAGAAGAGAAAGAGACTCTGTAAGTAGATTTAGGGAATGGATTGAAAAAGAAGACTGTTTGAGCTCTCAGTTTGAGTCAGAACTTCGCAGTAATATCAGCAAGGAGTTATTGCAGGCCATTCAAGTTGCAAAAAAACAAGAGAAGCCCCCAAATTGCAGCATATCATGAAGCTCATACAAGCCATAGTTATATGGAAACTTTGGAAGAGAAGGAATGCTTAAAGACATGTTAAAAAGGTCTCTTTTTAATAAAATGTACATTCACTGTCAATATAATATGAATTGTGCAAGCAGTTAAAAACTTGAAAAACAAATTCAAGTTCCACACATTTCTATTAATGACACACAAATTCCTAAGACTAACACAATTATAGCCAGTTTAAATTATAGACACTGCATCCAAATAAAACACAACGAACATGTAAAGTGAGAAGTAAATCATACAAAGCAAATCAATTTGTGCTTCGTGAATGATCAAAACAATATCGCAAAATGCACAAATCCACCCAATATCATTAACTTTAACGAATAAATAGGGCATTATGTCTCACACTTTATGATGGCAGTGACTCATAAGGGAAGATAACATTCAACCGAACAAGCAAAAGACATAGACAATATCAGAATCCGAATGTATTTCAAAGTAAAACGACAGTGATACTCAAGTTTAAACATCTCTTAATAATCAAAAACAAAATTGAAGATAACCTTTGCGACTTGTGTTGTAACTTTCTCTAGATTAGCCTATCATGTACTTTCAGGACTCCACCTTAAGGAAAAATAAGGTGTAACAGAAAAGCAATTACATTACTGATTTTCGTTTGCTTGTCATGTCTAGCTATAGTGCAGTCTCTTGTCTCTCTTTACTTTCTCTTATTTCATTGTCTGTGGTTCCTATGAATGAGTATAACAATATATTCTTTCAAATTATACAGACTTCACCCATGATTCATGTCTTCCCTTTTTAAAATGAGAGGAATATGAACTTCATATACTGATTAGCGAGATTGAGTCCAAAAACTATATAGTTTTGTCATCTTTGTCCTTGTGAAACTGATCCGCGATACTTTAACTACGTGAATTCTAGTAGCAATAACTTGCATCACCCAGTTGCACTCCAATATATTGCTATTCATTAACCTGGTTTATCGTTATATTTGTCTCACAAGCATCAAAACTGAAATACTTGATATTATGAACAAATCTGAGTTCATATTTGTCAATCCAAATGCAACTGGACAATGTGGTTGTGGAGAATCTTTCATGACAACAACTAGCTCAGAAGCTGCTAAGTTGCGCGGCAAGTCTAGCTGACATCTTATTATATACTCATATTATGTACGTTAGTCGTTATATATATACACTTACAACTGTGAGTATATACTATATAGTCTATCTGTAGTAATAAATCAACAATGTTAGCAGTCAGAAACAGAAGGTTTTGTTATTTTTTTCTCCTTTTTGCCCAAATGTTATGTACATCAGTTGTTGTAAAGAATAACATTTTCTTTGCCATGGAAAGGTGAAAGTAGAAAAATATTAAATACAGAAAATCAAATGAAAAGCATACTCTGCTGTCTGTATATGCTCGAAATTTTGAACATTGCTTTCTTCATTTTTGCTCTCAAATTAAGCCATATCAGTCAACAAAAAGTGAAACAAATACCAGTAGGAGGTAATTTGGGAGTAATTTTTGTCCACATTCACATCAAATGGGGAATATTAAGGAAGAATTCAGCTGGAACAAAAAAATATGTAGAAAGAAATACTTACAGATCCACAAACATGGAGCACTAGATTTTGACTCTCTTATATATCACAGAATCAAACAGGGGAAGTTTATACACTAACTATATTGGAGCAAATAACATAGGTTTAAGACTAACCCATATATTATTCTTTAACATGTTTCAAAATTAATTCAATGGGGACTTAGAAATCATGAACTAGCATAGAAAACTTAAACATTATTAACCTTTAAGATGAATTCGTAGTCGAACCTCAAAAACACCACCAAAAATAACGAGCTGGTTGTTTTCCCCGACGAGCTTCAGCAACATCTTCACAATCGAGCTTCAACAACGAGCTTCAGCAACAACTTCACCTACGAGCTTCACCAACAACTTCACCGACAACTCTTCACCAACGAGCTTCACCAACAGCTTCACCAACAAGCTTCACCAACGAGCTTCACCAACAGCTTCACCAACAAATTTCATTTTTCTCACCAAAATCTTCAGAAATTCCTTTCACATGCACCTTCACCCACAAAAATCTCTCTCACATTGCTTTGATGAAATTTCTGAAAAATAAGGGTTTCTAATCAATTTCATTCTTTTTCTCTACATTTTCTAAAAAGTTAATAAATAAGAATTAATTTTTTAGGAGGGACTAATTATATTGGAGGCAAATATATTTTTTTTAGGAGGGAAAAATATTTAGGGCTAAAAAATCAGAATTATTTTTCTAAAAAACCGTTGCCATAGAGTTGTCTATTGCAACGGTTTTAAAACTTGTTGCTATACCTTCTCTATAGGGACGGTTATCGGGATTATGCAACAGTTTATTTTAAGAATTATTCTATTAGATTCAAGGATATTTGGCCACGGTTATAACCGTTGTAATAGGTTAGCTATTGCTACGATGGTATAACCGTTGCTAAATAAGCGTTGCAGTAAGTCAAATTTCTAGTAGTGAGA